CCCCAAAACCCCAAAACCCCAAAACCCCATATTTCCAAAAATAATTGAATTTATTATAGCCCAGACAAACAACATCATGAGACAAAGCCATCCGGGATTGATTCCTGACTCCAATGTCGTTTTCTCCAATGATTAGGAATGTATGGTAAATCTAAGAAATGTACCTGAAGAAAGCGCCTTGGTCATAAAAATTTGTTGAGAGATAAAGGAAGTCAAGAGGGGATTCATATTTTTGTTAATCTGCAATCTTATATCAAGCACAACCTAGTTAACAGGTAAATGGGAATATAAAGAACACTAGCTTGAGTATCCTAGCAACGTTTGTGACTTCGTTCTTCTATTTTAGATGAGTAACAATTACACGGAGTCTGGAAATCTGAGTAAGTTTAGTAAAGTCAATAATTTTGAGCCAAAGAACATAATTATCATTTTCTGAGAAGATAAGTGATAAGTATCCCAGTTGCACTACTCAAATCTTACCAATAATAAATTGACCTTTGAGATCATTAATGGTGACCTTTCTCTAATGGAATACCTCAATGCCAGTTTCAGGTTGTATGAATGATGTTTGAAAGCTCACAAAAATATCAATCCTAAATAAAATATCTATTATTATTATTAACATCAGAATAATCGCATTTTCAAAGTGGTTAGGGTAGAAAGATATTCCGTAAGGTGTTACAAATCAATTGATGCAAGCCACTGCCATGACATATAGTTCAAAAATATTATTTTCTAGTCATCCATGCTCCAAAACAACTTTCTTTGTTGTTTGAATTAATGAAAATACGGCTTTGGTCATTTGAATCACTAACGAAGCATAATCTTTAGTGTATAAAATCCATTTTTGAGACACACAAATTCTATCTCTACCATCACTGTCAGGATCTGAATCAGTCCATGAACTTAGTGAGAAGGACTCATTAAAACTATTATTTCTAGGTCTAGACAGAGTTCTGATATAATCAAAAGATAAAATAAAGGATCTTACCAGACAGTCCAATTTGGTCCTCGATCCTATACTACTTCTCAACTTGCTTCTTGACATTGTTAATGAAACTAGCTGAGTTTATCTGACTTGTTTTAATCTCTTAGAACAATCTTAGAACAGAAGCAAATTAGAATATTATCAAAACTCAGATGCGTCAGGATATTTCAGAGATAGTTAACAGATATCCGCTTGCTTATATCCTTCTTTATGTTGTTTTGTATTTTAGTATGATCAGACTTTTGTCCAACATAGAAGAATTCTTCTAGAATACCATATCATTTTTATAATTCTAACAAGATTTCGATACCTCAGAGTATTTTGGGTATCAAATGATCCCTGAAGTGGCTGCTTTGATCTGTTGAGATCATCTCCAAGAAGGCTTGGAATTCGAGGTCTTTCTTCAAGATTTTTGGAGATATTCTTTGATTCTTCATTATGCCACCTAATCTATTTTAATAAGAGTGAAGCAGGGATTAAATATATGAAACCGAGTAGTATGTAAACAAGTTGTGAAATCAATAAATATCTCAAATATATTTGTAAGATAAGTTTACACAAAACTCATTTATCTTATCTTTATAAAATCTCCAACAATTGTTCTAGTCTTATTCCTATTTTTACAAAAATATTCGTAATATATCTTGTATAAGCCAAAGTTTAAGAGTTCAAAAGCCCTAGCTATCTGCATTGTATTCCCAACCAACCCACCAAGCTTAAACTCTTGTTTGTCTGGCTTTATGTAAAGTGCTTATTTTCAATTGTTATCTGGCAGTGAGGGGTTTTGGGGTTTTGGGGTTTTGGGG